TATTAAGACTCGAGTCGATGCCCAACTTCTCATATGAAGTCAAAATTTGATAGCAAAATGAAAACATAATTTGATGCATTACGACATCAGAAGGACCAGAGGGGAAAAAAGCTAGCATATGAGGATTTGGAGGAGGATTGAGGCTCAGAGGAGGATTAGGATATTTGTTTTCTATATTTGTTTTTTGAAATATTTTGAACATAATAATTTATGTGCAAATAGCTTAATTATTTGTTTGAATGCATTAAATTTATTTTTGTGTTTAGTTTGTGTGTTAATTCATGAGATTTTAGTTTAATAACTAAATGGATCGGTAAATTGGATTGCACAATATAGAATTAGATTTGTAGCAATGTTACGATTACATGTGTAGAAATTATAAGGATATGAAGAAGGTTCATTATTTTTTTTCACATGCTACAGTTTTTCGACAGCTTTGTGGCAGTCATCCAAAGGGTTTTCACTTTTTTTTGTTGTGATCTGATGGTTATAAACCATCAGTTAATGGGTCGACGACTAACCAACAGTCTCGTGTTGAACCATTGATAAACCAATAGTCCATGTCATCAGTTACTCGACCTACAAACTAACCCGAGAGACTGTTGGCTTGCCATTAGAAAGACCTCCAACCGTCATTTTGCCATGGGCCTTTGGTTAATACAAAAACTAATCGGAAAGCAACTGACAAATTTTCATTTTAGCATCAATCGACGACATCTGACCGTCATTTATATATCCATTGGTCAAGCGCCAAATAACCAACATGTACGTCTTTTGTATTAACAGACAGCATCTGACAACTGTTTATATATCTGATGGTTGACTGGAGGCTTATTAACAGTTATACTTTTAGTATGAACCTATGGGTACTACCTATCGGTAATTTGTCAACCGATAGAAGCCGTCGAAAATTCCATAGGTTATGAGATTATAGACAAGCGAATTAATTATGCCCTATAAACCGTAAAAAAGAAGTCAAATTTTTATTAACCCATGGTATTCTAATATTTACTGACGACATCTAACCGCCAAAAATAAGTTAAATTTATTATAGTTTTATTTTAACTATAAGCTTAAAAATTATACCCACTATGATGACTAAAATCAATAAGACTTCAAAATCCCTACCCAAGCGTCAAATGTGTGCATCATCTGTAATATATATACATACATTAATAATTTAGTTTTTAAGAGTATAGTATAAGTAATTGATATGTTTTGGATGCTAGGTATGCTGTTATGGGATTTATAAGTGCAATTTATGCAAATTCTTCAAATTTTTTGATATCCCAAAAAAATTTTAGATGTTTTGAGCTCTTTCTTTTCCTTAACAAAACTAGAGATGCTGCAAAGTTGCAAATTTAAGTAATATTTGTATGAGAAATTTCTCGAAGTAGATCCTCATGAAGAAGAAAAGATAAGAAAAGAAAAAATAGGATAAGTATACTTTTGGAACAAAATAGTGAATAAATAGTTATCGATATAAATCCAATGAATCGATCGAACCAATCTAGAATTTTCATTATGCAATTTTTAGATGATGGCTCAACACATGAAAGACGGGCTGCAAGTTTGACCCCACGACCCTTGTTTCTTCTCGATTCTCTTACAACCCTACCTCGCTGCTCGTGCATCACGCTCTTCACTTTCTCGAGCTGCTCTCCCCTTTCTCGCGATGTTTCTCCTAAAGCTAACATTGCCTCTCTTGATCTTCTTCTATCCGTGGCTCTGTCGCTAAGGTTTGATTCCGTTTGATTACGTTGGTTCTGGTGGTTGTTGAGGTGAGCTTTCCTTACTTCTCCTCTCCCTCTCCCCTTCGCTCTTTAGCTTGGTTTGGATCATTGGCTCACCGTTGCCCCGCGATATTCTCTACTATTATCTATTTGGGTATTTTGATTTTGCGATAAAAATTTTAGTTCTTTGTTTTATATTCGGTTGATAGATTGGGTTTTTTGTGCTTTAATCAGGCGATGGTTTTCGGGTTATTGTGTTGTGATGTTGGACTTTGGTATTTTCTTGGGTTCTCTTTGCTCTACTCAGTTGATGATTTGGGTTCTTCGTGTTATAACCAATTGATTGATTTGGGTTCTTTGTGCTCTATTTAATTGATGAATTTGGGTGGTTGTGTTGTAATGTTGGATTTTACAATTTTATTGGGCTCTCTGTGCTATATTCAGCTTGATTATCTGATTTCTCTATGTTTTATTCGGTTGATGGATTTGGATGGTAGTATTGTGATGTTCGTTGTAGCTCAAAATTTGATGGTTATTTGAATTCTGTAGCTCAAAATTTGATGGTTATTGTAGCTCAAAATTCGGTTGATGGATTTTGGATAGTAAAGCTAACATGTATCTTCAATCCAATAATTTATGCAAATTCTGTAGGAAACTCCAGAAATTTATAAAGATATTTGTATTTGTTCTCCATGAAGTTGCTGGAAGACCTGACTCGTAGAGAGTTCTTTATGATGATGACTCCGAATTGTAGGGTTCAATTATTACGTTATTTTCATAACAACAAGAACACTTGAATTTCATTTTTTCAAGTTAGACTATTTGTATTTATTTTTCATTAGGACAATCTGCTATTTGCTTTGAATAGTTATCTTTCTTTATAATATTATTAATGCTACTTTGGTTATTTGCTTTTCATCATAAAATTATTTTTCTTGGGGGCACTGTTAAAGCTACTTTGTTTTTGTTTGTGGCACTGTTATTTTTCTTTGAATCATACTGCGGGATTTGATGACATATTTGTTTCCAAAATAAGTGCACATTTTGGTGGTCACAATGACTCTCTATAACTATATTCAGCGGCATCCTTCGAGCAATTGACTTCAACAGGGCTAATGAAGATCATTCACATGTCGTTACTAAAACATATGAATATCACCTGGGACAATTTTTATCAATTGCAAAAGATATATAAACTGAACTTGCACCCAAGATAGGGAAGGTGCATGGGAGATGATAGACCTAAAAGAGCGGATTATAGATGTCATCGTTGGCTGCTGAATGAACTAATTATATTGTTTTTGCTACTTTTTTTTGCAATGTGCTGTGAAAAAATTTATTATTTGTTGTATCGATATTTTATCCAATCATCTGTATATTGAATATCAATTTTATTTCTCGCTCTTTTGCATATATTCTTCCCCACTTGGATGGTCGACGTGGCAACTGTGGATTTAACATGTAATATAATTTTTTATTGCATGTTTTATTTTTAGGTTTTGGAGGTTTATGATGAGATATTTGACCTTAAGGGTTCTTCTAGATGGCTTATATGTCATTATTGATTCTTGTCACATGTGAAATCCTAATTAAGGCAACAAAGTTCCTCTCCTTTTTCAGTGTTATTGCTTTAGAGGTTCTTCTTTGGTGATAAACATATGCAACACATACGAGCTTGATATTAAGAAAACCAAGAACCCTTTTAATGATCTATTGTTTTCATGTAGTGACAAATTCAGTGGTTTATACTATGTTCTCTCAGACCTCACAATTTAATAAAACTTGCATTGATTACTTTTATTTCTTTTTTCGTCGATGAGTCATTTAAGGATTTGTGCTTCGTTACCTTCAAAAGAGAAGAGCTCGAGGAATTCTATTACCTACAAAGTATTGTACTGCTACAGTGGACAAAAATTTTTCCTGCTTATTTCGCGGCAAACACATAACTACGAGCGACAGTTTCACAATTGTCTAAAGAGAAGAACAAAATGTTGTGACTTCTTTAGGTGGGCAGATAGCTTGGAGGAATCCACCATCGATAGTTATCGGGCATGCTGAGTTTTCATAGAGAACGGCTTATCTCGTAACATAAACCAATTAAACTTTCAAAGCAATATTATCATATTATTAATTATTATTTTAGAAATTATTTTTTTTTTAATTTTGCTTGTCGTGTTATTCACTGTTTTGTGAGGTGTTCATTTTTATTTTGTAATATTTAAACTGCATATTTACATTCAAGTATAAAATGTGCTAGTATGAATAATTCTGTTATAAAACACTATAATACATGAGCAGAAATGTCATTTATTCAGAAACAGCTGCAGCACAATTGCTTAAAAACTGCAAGAAAAAAAAAAACAAACAGAAATTCAGCTTTTGCACAGCAGCTTTCTGCCACAGCTGCTGCGCAACAGCTTTTCCCCAAACAGATCCTAAAACAACTATAAAGGCAACGTTGCATTTATTAAACATAATAGAATTTTGATAGTAGATGCTAATTGATGTAATTGCATAAACCCTAGTAGTTTAGTAGAGTTACACCAATTATTATTAGTAACTTATTACTACTAAATTGTGGTTGATTTAGATATACATAATAAACTAAAGATATTATTATGTCAAAAAAAACATAAAATAAAATAAATATGAAAAAATATCCCAAATGGCCCGTTAGTTTATGGCATCAAACTGGCGTAGCACTCAGACAAGTGAGATAAGAGCTTTTCAATCAATCAAATTGCCTTTTACATATTGATGCAACTTCTTGGAACTTTTAAATAACAGGCAAAATAAATAATACTACACTTTCTAAATAAATTCGCACTCCAAATAGAATTCTGTTACTTCTTATGCATGCAATTGATCAAATGAAAGAGATTTGGGCTACACACATACTCTATGGATGTGAACTAACAAATTCATTTCAAATTTAAATTTATTTAAGCGAAGCAATTCTCATAAAATTTGCTCTTCATTTATTTTAAACTACAAAATTGTTCTTTTTTACCATTATATATTAATTTATTTTTTGGCATGTGCCCCTTAAGCAGGCCAAGGGAGAAGAAAACACATTATGTTGCCATCATCTCTTCAACTTTTCTAAACTTGAGAATATCATCAGGTTGTAAACAAATCATGCGAAGAAATAATGAGAAATTTTAAATCAAATTAAACGTCTAAAATCATACTTTCATGAATTCACATTTCAAATCACAATGAGGACACCTAACAGCAACTTTTATGAATTCAACAAAAATATAATTTTACTTTTTGTTTTGTTCAATCTCAATATAATACAAACATCACAATTGCTAATCTGCATAGTTAAATGATTATTCAAAGTTTCAGCCATACATTTTTTATGTTGAAATGGTAATGAAAAGGATAATGACTCGATCAAAAATATACTGAAAACTAACCTCATTCCACACAACTTTCTAATGACAATCTCTCATCAACCCTGTTCCTCGCCAACACTGCCTGCAAGATTAACCATAACAATTGCAGCAAATTGTAAATTTTGAAAACCATTAACATTAAATTAAAACGAAATTTACACACATACCTCACAATTCTTACTTATTTATATATCTACGTCCCAAATTTTGATATTCAGATTTATAATAACTTGGTGTCATAAACGTATGCATGAAAAGGTGTACTTCAATTTTAAGAGATACTTATAGTGGTACATTTCATGTGAAGTTGAAGATTTAAGTTTTATACATGTAAATATGAATGTTTATGTATTTGATATGTAAATACATCGGAATTGTGTGTATGCCAATGCCCCTAAAATTAAATTAACTAAATTATCCATGAAATAAATGATAAATTAGCATACCTGATGTTGCCAATTAGTAGAAATAGTTATTACTCCAAGAAGAAGGGTTTGAATCACAGAACCTGACAATATACCAATCCATAAACCCTTTCCTCCATTGTGGAAGAGAAAACCCAACAAGACTGCCGTTGGGATTCCGACGAGATAGAACGCTCCAAGGTTAACATAAGCTCCAATGTGTTGCCATCCACATCCGCGAGCAATTCCTGCAGTTCAGTGATCATATGAAACAATTCATGGCATTTGAAAACATACCACCCAGTTCATATATATTTACATATCTAACTCTTAAGTATTACTTTTAACTTTTACACCACCTAAATCATTCATACCAAATAAAAAATACCACAAGTTTACTTTTAAAAAGTGAAATACACCTTTTCATGCATCGATAAGGTGGCATGTATGTAACAATTGAAGTTTTACTGTTAGATATGTAACTCAATAGAAATTGAGTGGTATGTATGTTAGTCTTCCAAAAATTTTAATGCAATATAAAAAATGGGTTGGTGAAGAAGATTACCAGAGAGCACACCTTGGCAGGCATCCATGATAACTGAGATGGAAACAAGAGGAATCATTTCTCTAACATAACGCACAAGCTCATCCTCATTGCTGTAAGCATAACCGATGACTCGGCGGAGGCCAAAAAGTGCCAAGCTCGCCACCAATGCCTCCACAATTGTGATCGATATCACCACGAGAAAAGCCAAACGAGCTCCATTTGGTTTCCCAGCTCCGAGTTCATTCGATACTCGTGTACTGCGTGCATAAAGTTTATCGAGTTTCAATAGGAAAAATTTGATAGAATCTTATCATGTTGAATATTCATGTGAAGATTGGAGAGTAAGAATGATCATACCTTGCAGCACAACCGAGGCCATATGGTATGGTGTAGAGAACCACAATGCTTGTAAGGCTGCAAAACAAAGAGATTGCGTTGTGGCATAATCTTTGATGCTAATTCAATATATGTGAATGAAGTATTCCATACCATATAGAAAGGACTGATGTTTCAAGCCTTGGATTTGGAAGGAGACCCGAGAGTAGGACAAGCAGCTCGAATGACCACCATTCAAGACTGTAATCAAGTAATTAATCACATTATTATAATAATAATAAAAGAAAAACCAATCTTAAATAACCTTCTAAGGGGCCACATGGTAATGGATTTAACTAGGATTTAACTTAAAATCTTATCAGACAAAAAAAAATGATAATTTTACATCCAGAATTTATTAAATCAAATTTCTTCTCAATTTCTTCTCTGTTTGACTTATATCCCATATTTACTAAATCCTGTTGTTGGCGGGATTTAGTAAATCTGAATTTAAAGGATTTATCAAAGCTGCTAAAACTGTTACCACACAACCCCTACACTATATACAAAAATTCCACCAAATACTTGTTTGGAAAAGAAATGAGAAACAAAGTCTACCAATTGATATTACCACATCATTACTGCAGAGGGAACTGCTAGTCTCAAGAACTCATTGATACCCTTGAATGCCTCCATCGAGAGCGCAGTACGAGTTGCTTTGCAAGAATCTGAGTACTTGATGTACATCAAGAGAATCAATACATTGATCCAATAAGAAATACTTATAGAAAGCGCAGCCCCTACATTGCCCAAACCAGTTTTTAACACCATGGCCCAACACAAAGGAATGTGGATGCAAAGTGTTGTGAATGAGCTCAAAAGCATAGGAAGAGTTAAGCTCTGAGATTGAAGAAACTTCATAAGAGGCTGAGCAGTGCCATAGGCAAAGAGGGCAGGGACCATCCAGGCTATATATTTGCCAGCCTCTTGGGATATTAGGGGATCCTGACCTATGAGTGAGAGAAGCTTCCCCATATAAATCCAAAGGAGAGAAATTGGGAGGCAGACTATTATGAGTGATAGAATAGCTCTGTATGTGTGGATTCCAAGCTTTTTGTATCGTTTTGCTCCATAAGCTCGCCCACAAAGAGTTTCCAAGGCCATTCCTAGCTGCCAATTTGTTAAAAAAATGCATGAAAATGAATAAGTTATGTTTATTTTCACAATTTTCCATTTTATTTGAAACTTAATGTAACGTTCCAAGCTTTCCTCTTATGCAAGGAGATCATGAACTATAGTTTTGATCAGACAAATCCCAGCCACTCTTCTTTTATATTCAACAAACAATTCATTGCCAGCTTTGGGAAACCTTCTACTTTTATAAGCAGAAGATGGCAATCAAATAGATATAATTCCAAATTTTCAGATTATTTTACAATCTGAAAAGGAATTGTAAAGAGAAATATGAGTAATTTTGTTGAGAAAAAGGATCACCTTTTGATACAATAAAAAAATTTCAAATATTTCGATTGTGTAATCAAACCATATAATCGTTTTCATGATATAATTATTTTATTTATTTATTTTTCATAGTAGTATATGAAAAAATTTAATTATCATGTAGAACAACTAATGTCTTGGTGAGCGATGCATCCTTAAAATGCAACCTCACCATACAATTCAAAAGCTAATTTCTCAGTATCAATATATTTACTAATTTTTTAGTATGTGAAATTATACTGACATGGTATTGAAACCAAATATACATTTCAATGATTTCTTTCATAACCAGAAAAAAATTCAATCTGTTTTATCGAAACAGAACATTATTAAAATAACTTTTCCTTGCAATCATTCAGATTCTCGCAGAAATTGTATTAGAGAGAAACTCAACTCTTCCAGTTTTCTAAACAAACCCGATTAGCCTAATCGTTTACTTACAGATTCCATCACTTGATAAACAGCAAATTTCAGCTCCAAACAAAAAAATAAATAAATCCAATCCAAATCTGAAAAGACTGAAATTAGAACGGAC